TGTTTGTCTACGTTTTTTATACGTTTTTTAAACGTATTATATCCGTATACTTTCCTTATACATATTATTTATAGGGACTATCTCAATTTCGCGCTGTTCGCATTTAATAAAATAGGATCTGACTTCATATCTACCTTCTATACCTTTCTCATCATCATGATCTAACTTACATAATGGACATAGAGTCTCGTCAGTAATTCCATAATAATTGAACTTTTCACTACTAAATTCTCTATATAAATTAGAATATTGATCTAATGCTTTGTTGCGAAAATAGGCGCGATCATAAGTTGGATTAGATTAGGATGTAGATGGTACATTTGCTTAAGATATGTCTGATGAAATCATTTCCGATGGAGCATTTGGCTGAGAGAATGCTGGTACTTCAGCTGACAGACCACGTGTGTGTGAGCGATTATTCACGCCGATCAATTTTTAAGATTTGGTTAGTTCATCAGTATAAAGATTTATTTTATTTTGGATTTATGCATCAGTTAGTCTAGAGATTGCATCAGCACTAGATGTAACCACTCCAATTTTATCTATTCCTATTCCTTTAAACAAGGTATAGATGTTTTTAGCCTTTTGTGTCATCTTACGCAAATATTCTCTTTTTTTACCAGGAAGATACAGCTCCATTTCATTATAAATCTGCGTTCTTACCATTTGATCACTAATATTATTTTCAAATCTAAGGGTTACAATCTTTTTTTCATATTCCTCACTATAGTAATACCATCGTAATTTTTCTTTCTGACCAGTCTTTTCAGCCTTGTCGAATAAATGAGCTAAATGAAATACAGAACCTAAAGTTAGGTCAGCATTGACTGGAACATTTGAAATATATTTGCTAGATATAGAATTTAGTAAGGACATGGAATTATGACATTTAATAAATTCAAGTAATTCGCATATTAAATCTTGTTCTACTTTTTGATTATATGGAATTTTTTTGGGGTGGAGTGTCCTGCTTGTTTCCAAAAGACTCACAAGGTATTGCTGACTCTGCAGATGATTCCTTTGGAATCGATTTTTCGATTACCTGTTCTGAAGGAGTTACAAGTCCAGTGCTAGTCATAGAGAGGTCTGTTATACAACTGGTGTTAATTGCTGGGGATGATTCCTGGACAATCAATTCGCCTTAAAGCTTTTTTTCCTGCTTCCTCTACCTGATCTCAGCTAACCTTTCTCTTATACTCCTCATCTAAGAAATCATCTGTCTCTTTATCCTCTAATGACTTGGTTTCTATATGAATAGGTTTGCATGCATTAGAATTAAATGTACTATCAGATGTATTTGATGGCTTTGCCATCTTTTCTAGTTTACCCAGGTGAACAATATTGTTAGGGTTCTCGACAGAGCTGGTATTAGCCGATGATTGTTTGATTTTCTTGATATCATCATCATTTTGGCAATAAGGTTGGTCTTTTCTTTATCTCTCTGCTCTAGTCTAGTGAACCTAGCTTTATGTTTTTCCAAAGCGCATCTTAACTTTCTCAGCCTTGACCTCTGCATTCTCATCCATAACCTTGATATATTTGGCCTTAACCTCAGCATTCTCAGCCTCAAGCACAATGATGCGTTGTCTCAATGAATCAAGTTCGGATAACATGATAATATTTTAATGCTCTATAATGCTAGTATTCAAAATCAGAAAAATATAGGCCATTTTGGCTGATTGTGAATATTGTTTACGGTTTTGTCAAGAAAATTTTTATTATTACATGCGAAAAAATAAATACATAGTTTGAGACAAATGTTTAAGACAGCACCAGTTAGTACTCTGGAGTAATACACACTTTTCGGCTGTAATAAGACTCTAGTTGCTTTTCCCTTTCAAGACGACGATAAATTTTTTTGGCATGCTTGAAGCAATAGCCCATATAAGATAATGTAAGTTTATTGCATATTCTACATGAAGATTTTAGCATATTATTTACACCCAATTTCCAGTGAAGCAAACATCCTGCCAAGCAGATGTAGACTCAACCACAAGCGTTCCCATCTCTTTTGATATGGGGACAGATTATACGATTCATCTAAAGTATTTAGATTATATTCTTTCTTCACTTCCATTATAAAAATCTGATTTCAAATTATGAAAAAATCCAAATTGAACTTGGGTGGAAAAAGTATATCATAAACGAAAAATATATATCACATCATACTACTTCATTTCTATGGACACGCAAAAAACAGTACTCAGTATTTTAACAGACTGATGGATCAATCCAAATGGAAAGCTATTCCAGAAGTTGATTCGTAAAAGTTACAGATACACTAATAGACTTTCAGATTATTTAGAAGATATTGGGATAATATATATAGCTGAATTTGAGCTGGATCCCTTAGCCGACTTCTACTATCCAGCTCTAATTCCACCTTTATCTATCCTAGCTAATAGATCAGATATTCGTAAAAAAATTCCTATTAGTGTAGAATCTGCTGTTATGAGAGGAGTGAGTCTATTTACTTTAGAAAAAAATAAACGATCTTCACTCCAGAATCTAATCCAATGAACTATTCCATTGATAACTTGACTATGTTAATAGGAATAACTTGAGACCAAGAAGAGATGAAAACTTAGAGAAATAATGAAATTCCTTCATCATCCAGATTTAGTGCTTTCAAAATATAAACTGAATGCATTATATGACACATTCATAAAAACAGATGTTTTAGAACCAGAGCATGTATTAGCTCTAATACGGCTACTTGGTTAAAATTCGATTACAATATAAATTTGTTTATAGCCTTAAAATGGCAGTTCCATGACTATATATTTTTTCACATATCATATATACCTGCAAAATTCATTTTTTTTATTATTACATGCGGAAAATAAATACAAATGTTCGGGACTTTGCCCGTGATACATGATGAATTTTCTATGCTATAAGACGTATCTATTCCTAAATCCTAATTCTTTTTCCTGCGAGGTCGCCTGACCTTACCCTTTTTATTTTCCTCGATTTCTCTAAAGCTTCTGCGCTTCTTCCAATAACTATAAAATATGATCAAGGATCTTTTCCGCCATGTCTTTCATACCCTCATCTTCATACGCAACAAATAGAGGCTTTGACAGCTTAAACACTGGTTTCCTTTTATTTTCTAATGTACATTCCATAAATACCATTTTTCCACATCTGTTACAATCCCCATACTTTATTCATATCGTACTCATTGTCTATTTCATTCGCTTTGCGCTTACGAGAAAGAGAAGATTCCATCTGTACAGTAGCCTGAGCAAAGCCTACTTAAAGTCATCTTTTTGACTTCGATCAAGTTGATTGTTCTTCCAGTTGTACATGATTCAATACCTTAGTCAAGATTTCTGCGCCTATTTTTACCTTCGACCAACTTTTCGGGTACTATTTTTATTTGGCTTTTAAATAGATAAGTTGCTGAGGCGAGAAAGGAATAAGAATAGATGCTTTTTGTGGTCTCATAGGATATGTCAATGGGGGTTATCATGACACGAGTTTTCAATTTATCAAAAAGTTTACGCAAAGCTTCTTTATACTTTTCCTCCTTAGTGTTAGCACAACCGTATTGAAAAACGAAATAGACATCAATACTAGGATTCAGATCATCACTAAGCTCATAGAGCTCACACACTTTAGGGAAGGTCCAGGAGTTGAATGGTTTTGATGAATACAGTAAACTTGAGTTTTTTATTTGACACAAATATGCGGAGGATTTCACAAAGGTCTTGATTGTTCTGAAGTGAATATTTGTCTCCATCATTCATGAAGTTGAGTTCCGCCCCATCATTTTCAAGTGCGAGTAGTTGATACATCTTGCGTATATATTCCTTGAGGCCTTTGAGAGTCGCATGTTCGATATTTGCGATCCACTTATTTGACTTCTGTTTTGGGTGAACGACGACGTTGAAGTCTATAATGCAATAGTCAGTTAGAAAATTCTCATAAAGTCTCTCTTCCAACTATTTTATACATACTATGTGTGGACTTGTTGAGTATTACCTGCAATGAGGCGAGTTTCTCCTTTAATTCCAATACCTCTTGGCTCAAAGTGGCAGTAGTCTCTAGGGGATAGACTAAGATATGAACATGTTCTTCGGGAGGTGAGTCAGAAAAATATTTTGAAATCTTTTTTGTTGCTAGGAGTTCATCCTTGTCCTCGAATGTGAGATTGCTTAAGAGATCATCCTGATTATACATGAAGTCGAAATGGATCATTTCGGATATCCGAAATGGTCGAAATGGTCGAAATCATTTCGAC